ATAATTATCATCAGTGTGAAAAAAAAACTCCAGAAGGAAACAGTATGAGGTGGAACTTCAAGCTCCCCTTCAAGTTCTTCGGATTTCTTGTTTATACCAAACTACATTCACTGAAAATTGTTGGTAGGTAATCTATCATGTGCCCAGTGCTATAAGCGACCAATCAAAATGACATGTCATTTTGCGCAATCAACAGTTCTTGAATGATTCCCAATGTTTCACAACCTTAATACTGTATACTAGAGTTTATTTCGCACAAAATTTTCCAAAAAGTGTACAGATGTTTCATTTTGATTTGAAAACTGCGCTCTGAAGGTTTCCTCAACTTTTAAAAGCCGCAACGTTAGATTAACAATACGCTCCGGTATACCTGCCACATGAAGATAAATTAACACCTGAGTTTTCTCAGAATTCTTTTGACCTGATTTATTTAAACAATAAAAGACACTTGGGTTTTTAGGGTTCCTGCTTCTTAGTGTTACATATTTGTGATGATATCAGCTGGTGACAGGCCGTATTTCCTGGCAACTGACAGATCCAGGAGGGGGGAGCCACGCTTCGCCCCCCTTGCCATAAAAAGTGAGGGGTATATTTTTTTTAATTTAGAGAGAGACGTTTTCTTATGTAGGCCAATGTTTCATTTTCCCTCCCTTCCAAAAACGAACAAAGTACCCTATTAATGTAGCCTCAACACCCAGAAAGGCTACACAAAAAAAATCGCCCCCTATTTCCCCGATTTGGCTGTGGTCTAACCCTTGTTCCTGACCAAACTACCGGAGCTTGTGGTACCCTTCCGGACCTCGTGCTCTGGCCATAACTCTAATTGCCTCCGAACACATGGCCTCCTGACTCCATCGTGGAGAGTTCATTAGGGAAATTACTTCTGACGTATTAACATCTCTTCAAATGGCGGTTTCTCGTTTGAAACGTCTGGAGTGTGTGCCATTTTCCTCCATTTATCACCAGGGGATTTTTTCGAGTATAATATTCGGAAATGGACTTGGACCAGTTATTATTTTGTATGTAGCAAAACAAAGCGCCATCTTTCTTCGAAAACCGACTTTTTGGTACAGTTTTACCCGTAATGAAGTGTCAAGTGGCGCACCACTGTCAAAGAAGATCAAAAATCCATTTGCAAGTCACACTTCTCTAACAATCAACCTTACCATCAGAGATTGTAGACCTAAGGGAGAAGGGCTTTAGCAGTGAATTACTCCCCGCCCCTCCGTTTATATTACTCTAGATACTTTTCGCCTCGGAGTTTTCTGCGAAAAGTTGGTTACTATCCAAAATGCGTGGAAACTGAACTTGCCCACACATATAGTACTCTTCTCCGTCAGAGGTCTAGGTATTGCCATTATTTATGTCTCCACCTACATTATTAAAAGGACACGCCCACCACATCCGACGAGTCCGAGTATGCAATAGACGACGTGTTAAAATAACATTAAAACCTCTTCTCCTATTTTCCCTCTATTTCCCAGTAATTGTATGATCAGGGAAGGACATTTTCATTGCCAGAACTGGATTTTGTCCTCTTCCGTTCACGAGAAAAGATGAGTTATATGTTAAGAACGTGCCTCAAAGGCATTGTGCGTGTTCATAACTCAAAATAGCGATTTCGCTGTGAACCTCAACCTGCAACTGTCTACTTACAACTGACCTTGCCTTTGGAAATGTGCGAAATTCAACACGGGCTAAAGTAGTTTAAATGCAACACTTTTGCCATAAAATATTTCACTCCACTTCATGCTGCAACACAAGAGCATTGGGCAAGCGATATCACGATTTTCCAGCTTTAAACTAGTAAAATACGAAAGTTAAGAGCAGCGTGTTCTGTGTGTTATCATCCAATATGGCATGCCACTCTCAAATGACCCTTTGTAAGTTGTATGCCTGCCCCAATTCTGAGGGCGACATGTATCTACGTTCTCCTCTGTGGTGTCCAGGGAGTTCGCTTGGATGCATAAAGAGAAAGTCCCGCATAGTCGGAAGAGTGTGATTAACAAGTATAAATAGCGCGAGGGAAATGAATAAAAGCATGCCCATTATTTCAATTCTGGGTTTTCTTGGGTTTCTTTTCAGGATACGGTCTCCTTTCTCTTGAGCAACTTAATCCTCGAGATGAATCGGATAAGTTGAATCTGGTCTGCACGACCCGGTCACAATGGCATTGAGTAGGGCCTACAACCACGGTGTCTATCTTATTATCGAAGTAGGGTATACCGGACAGCAACTTAGTTTGCATGACGTGTAGATAGGTACGCATACCAGATTTGTCAAGAAATATTCTTAATTTCGTATCGAATTCCAGCTATATATAACCAGACAAAAGAAGCACGAGAATGTTTTATCCTACCGCGACTTCAGCTCCAGAAATCCGCAATTTTGTTACTAAACATGAATCAGACATCTACTTGTAAAAATACGTGTCCTACAAAAATTACAAACGTCTCTAATATTCATTTTAGAATTCCCTGATAGGCCATCAGGGGTTGTCGAGTTCAACTGAACGAGAATGGAATCCTGTTAACAATTCCTAAGTTGGCGAAGCGATTTTATAGAGAGATTTTATAGAGTGTCGGAGATAGCTACTCGAAAGTCTGCTTAATAGTCTTCTTTTATTCGTCAGGTATGACTAATTGTTACATCAGAACGCAGGCGGATGCACTGCGTTAACTACGCTCTAACGACTCGAGTACCGTTCTCGATAGGCCCTGCTAAGTCAAGCGTGTTCCTCGTGACTTCCTAATCCCGGGTGAAATCGGGTCACAGTCACTTGTCACCCATTTAACTGATATATGAGTCCTTTAACTGATCCAAATGGTCATTAATTCCACAAGTAATCGCACAGAAGGAACATTTTGACGACGCAGGGGAATTGTTTTTGTAAACTAACGATTTAAATGTGAGGATCCCGCATTACGACCAAAAGACTTTGGTCCATATCGTGGATGGGAAATGAAAAAAAGTTATCACTAGTAATTGTGTCCAGAATTGAGCAGTTTGTTAATTGAGAACCGATCATTAACAGTGATAGATAATCACTACTGTATGTGTTAATCTTTCATTGGAAATTAATCATTGATAGCCGGCGATCATGAAACACGTAGACCATTTGTAGCAGCCGTTTTCTAAATTTAGACAATCTGGAAATATGGACCAATTCTTTCTGGCAAATGGGCTGCACGCAGTCATCCTGTTCCTCTGTGTACATTTAATGATTTACAAGTTTAACCTCTTAAAGTAACTTGTGCACGGGTTTGTGTCCTTCCAAAACCGCTGAAACGGCCCACACATCGTACTTTGTATTCCAATTTCCGAAAGGTGAGCTATTTACCTTTCTTCAAAAACTACAAAAAGCACCAAGAAATGTGACAATGATGTAGATCCAAATAGGCTAAATATTGGCCAATTATCCCGGACATTGAGCCATATTAGAAACGAAATATAAAGTTTTATTCTAAATATTTCCTTTTTGCTATTGTGACGACGTCAGACACAACTTGCATTGTTTAAACGTCAACTTTGCTTTCTTTAATGACTTCATTTATCTGTAAAAACCATTCAACTATCCTGCTACTCAAACAGCATTTCATGAGCACTAAACCCACGAGGTCCACATGAGTTCGCTCGCAAAACCCACTGAGCACTTCTTCGTTAACGGTGGAACCGGAATTCCCAGAGACCAGTCCTAGCTATAAACCAATCAAAGAGCAAGGGAGTCATTTAATTAAAAGCACAGTTTTGGCAACCAATCGAAAATCCGTTGACCGCATTAAAAAAAAGCACGCTCACGGAGTTAACTCTGTTATTCCCGAAGCAGAAATAGCTGGGAATTCCGGGCAAGTGGATGGTCACAGCTAGGGGTTTTTACTCAGCTAGGGAAAGGCGGAGAGTCAAGCATCCGTGAAGAAGGAACAAAGAACAGTGATAAAAATGGTACTCCGGCAGGAGTAACCTACGTCCGTGCACTTCCAACGTGATTTGCGTCCCTAATATAGTCCACACCCATCAGAAGTCGAGCTCATTGGTAGTGTCAGAGACGCGGAGAAAATGTGGCATACCAGTCGAAATTGCAATCCCTTGCACACACACGCACATAGAAGCAAGACTGCACGATATTGTTCACAACCTTACCTATATACCCCCGCGCTTAATCAGCGATTTCTTCAACTTGAATAAATGAAAGTCCAGAATCAGATTTAGTATCAACAGTGTTTGAATCAATTTTAAAAACAATGTGTTTAAAAACACCCCCTTTGTTGCTATGGTGCTACAAGATTCCACAGGTTGAGAATTTTGAGTCTCTAACTCGTCTCTAATCAAAATTTGCATGGCTGGTCTCGGCAATTCTTTTACATGCAATTACACACTGGTTATCATTAAATCTGAGCAGTCTTTCCCTGTTAACATCAAGGAAACAAAGAGATGAAACAACTTTTTCTATGGCCGAATGTTATACCCGTTTATCATTGTAACGGTGTGATGGAGTAAATAGGTCTGATCAATGCACGAATAATTAACAGACCAGCTGCACATTTTTCGGCGTGACTAGGCCAAAGCCATGAAATTTTACCTACTATTTCTGAAGTGGTTTTCTTAAGGCTGTAAACCTAAATATAATGACTCTTCGGGTCAAACCGATTCGGACTTTCTCAGCAAGATTATTGTGGTGGCTGACATAGTCAGCGTCGTGATAGGGTGAGAGCCAATAATTATGCAACCCGCAAGCCACGTTGTTCCTTGCGCGACTGGTCCTCAGGATTCACGGCAACAAAAATAGTCTCTCTGAGTTCACAGTTCATGTCTTCAACTTGGTTGTGCCCCTTGATTAATGCTTGAGTGTAATTACTAATTCGTAAATACTGTTCTGTTTATAATCAACCCGTGGAAGCAACGATTGAGCGTAATTACACTGTGCGTTTTTGTGAATGGCGGAGCAATATGTTTTGCCTATGGGCGTTGGATGTTTTCTCGAACTTTCTCGAGTAGCGGTCTTTATCGCCGCTGCGAGGTGAGCAACGCCCAGGTAAGAAAGTTGCCCCGAAATGCCTTGCTCTAAGTACTTTTTCTAGGTTAAATATCCTCACTGACTTACATCACCGATACCACTGATCGCCATAGAGCGTATTAGTTGGTATTATACTTAAGGCTTATGGCATTTTAATTTATTTGGGGAATGTTTTTAATCGTATTTGTGAGAATCTTCCACAATAGATTGCTGCACTGCAACTTCACGTATAAACAATACATGTCATGTTGCGTTAACGCTGCGCGCACTGTGCGTGGTAGACCTCGTGTGAGACGTGCGCGCTGTTTATTATGCACAGCGCGTACGTGGGGCTGTATAATGTAGTGCTTTGCATTGGTGGGGCATCATAACGAACATGATTGGACATATACGTTGGAGGTAGGCTTTAGTACATTTTATGCAAGGTACATTTCCTTGCAGTTGCTCATACTGCTATTCCTCGACATAATACTCATGGATATTTGTCTTTCATACTTGAAGTTATATGTACCATATTAATTATGTTTTGACCGCAGCTTGAGAGAAATAGCTATGGAGGCTTGTCTAGTAGGCCAACGCCTGCAAGCCTGACTGTAGAGCTCGAGAGTTGCTTTTGCTGTCAGCTACTGTACCACACTGGAGTAATTTACTTTAGTTCAAATATTGTAATTCGATTGCATGTTTTTTCGACCATTTTTATGACTTTATTGAACAAAAATTATACAATAATGTAACTTTTGTGCGACGTGTACGTTGTACTTTTATACAATATTTCTTTCATGACAGTTATGTAACTGTTTTGCAAACAGGGTTTATTTTGATCTGAAAAGACTCAAGAGCTTAGACGAGACAAATGAATCAACAATTAAAACAAATATTGGATTGCCCGTCTGGTGTCCGACTCACTCTGGGAGGGTTGCACTTGTAATTGGTGCCTCATCATCCAACAATGGGGGATGGACCTACCGATCCACCACCAGAGGCGGCATAGCCTACTCCACGTCCGGGTTACAAGAATGACGTCGTAGACAGGGTTGCCAGTGCCCTGATTTACGTGATGTCCACTCACCCCGGTTACATTATCAAAGCTCCCTCAACCTCGCTCCTGGGCCGACATGCCTATGAGTCGATGAAGATGGACTGATATTTCGAGTCAAGTGAAGCATGAAAAAAGCTCCATAATCTTTGACTTCGTTGTCACGTTTCATCTGACCATAGAGGAATAAAGAAATCACAAATGACTTGAATAATTGATTGGCTGTTAAGATGGATTGCCTTAAATCACCCATTCGTCTTGGTGAGAGGGGAAAATGTTTTAAAATGGCGTCGCATTAGCTTGATCGAGTTGTTAATTATTCAGGATAAAAGAAAACAGTGTGTGAACAGGAGTTTTGGCTCTTGAGAATATCTTTAGCCTCTCAAAAAAGATTTTTAGCATTCAGTTGCTCAGAGAAAGTCTTCAAAATAATTTAAAAAGAGATGTACAAACTTCTTGAATGTTTATTTTCCCTGACCAGCCTAAACTTCGTTGCATAACTGCATAAGCTTTTTCCACAGTGTTGTTGCTTACGGCTGCGACTGTTTCTCACTGCACATCTATGACCAGGAAGCAAAGCCACAACCAAACAGCACGTGATTTGGACACACCTGCTTTCAAATAAAACCCCCACAATTTTGTGTTTAGTTTCCTTGATTACTTTTTGCCAAAAATAGCAGCTTTCAATCACACGATTTTTTTGTGTTGATTGAACAGTTCGCGGTAGCAGCAACTCATGAGAGATGACTCCAAGGGATTCCATCCATGCTGTCAGACGATATCGCTATAACCCTTTTGCATATTTATGTCTCTTCATAAAATGCACATTGGCAAGGCAATACAGCCGCTCATGAATTAAATGGACTGATCCCAGCTACAATACAAGGAGGTAACTGCCACGCAAGAGCGGAAACTAAACGCAGATAAGCGCGACATACTGCACGACCTTCACTCAAGCACCAGTCGCGGGCTCCCGTTTCGCCGCTGGCGGAAATGCAGACTGGAAACCTGACGTAGCTGGCGGGGAACGGATAGCTCACGGCCCATTTCAGTCCCACAACGAGTCATTTCCTCGTGAAAATAAAATCACGCAGCGTCAAGAGCAGAGGACTAGATTACATACTGCCTTCAACCTCCACTCCTCTCACATCTAATATATCCAGTTTGGAGTGTCACGTGATAAAATGCACATTATAAGGGGAATCTCTTAAGTGCTTCCTAAAATCAAACAATGGTTGTAAAGCCAGTGGGCTCGAGACCTTGACACGAAAGCTGTAAAAAGCCGTATTTAGTGTTCTACAGAAGTAAGTAATGTTCCTCATTTCTCCTTAACTCCAATCAAAGTTACCTCACAGAAACACGGACAGTTTTGTCGCAAATGGAAAGATCTAAATCCCATTCAAGCATGACTTGAAGCTTTAACCGTAATTGCTTGGTTAGCGTTATGGGTATACTCCTCAAGAGGGGAAAAATACTTGTCTGTTAGCATTTGTTGGCCAGACGTGCCAGATTTACATCGATCTTGCCAAAGTATAAAATCAAAACCGCTTTTTAGCATGACTTGGTGAACTGTTGGCAACCTTTCTATCGATACCAACTTTTTCCTGTCAAAATACATGTATTAACCAGACCAGTTCATAGGCTGCGAGTCTCTCAGCGCACAAATACAGGTGTAGATCGACAAAGGCACAAGGAGTAGCAACCATAATTTGATAATGTAGACTTATTGAAGTAGGTGAAAAGGATGTGAATTCTGTCGCTTCCGCTGTTGGACAAATCACGAAGGAAAAAACAGACATTAATTTGAAAATTAATGACACTCTTGAAAACTGATACAAGGGTGCGCACGGTCCATATTTTTACCAGTGGACCGAATGTCAACCAAAACTGAACTGTCTTAAGTTAAAGTTTTACCCAACGGAGGGTAAAACCGGACCCCAAATTGCCTATATTTATATCCGGTTTTTGGTATTAGAATTAACGTCTGGTTGATTTTAACCTACAGCAAGGGTAATATTAACCAGATTTCGGTTATGAACCAGAAATTAATTTCAACCCCCCCAAATTTGATCAACACGACCCAGTTTTGGGTAGTTACAGTATTTCACTCACACATGAGTTAGAATTTAACTGGCAGGTAGTTTGTTAGTGCAATTGAACAGTTTTCATATATATAAAACGAAATTCAAACGTCTTTTATTAAGACGACGCTCTGAACAACCAACCTCTAAAATGTAACGAAAATTTGTTTCCTGCATGCATCCTTGCTAATTTCAAATTAAGTTTGATTAGTTACTAATCTAAAAAACCCATTGAATAAGTAGTTTGCAACAGTGCTTGCCTTAAGTTTTGCCCAAACGCCAATGCAATACTGACCTCCCTCAAATCTCGAAAGAGTTCAGTCCGAAATCAAGCGATTCACCTGTCATTTAAGGGCATCTCACGCAAATCCCCCAAACTTGGAATCTAAATCATTAATTTAAAGTTGTATCACAAATATGCTGACTCTCATGCTCCTTGTCCTCTCATATTCTCAGTACCACAGTTCCACTATTAATAAGTGATCTCACTACTATATGTGTACGGCCTAGGCTGCTCTACCTAGACTATGCGATCCGGGGGTTGTTAAAGTGGCAGGTGGCTCAGATGGGTAATACGAATCAGTAAGTATAGTGGATACAATTCATGTAATATTTCTGTAGACCCTCTGCCCATCGATCGGTTGATGTAAAGTAGGCCTATTAGGGTATGACTTATCTCTTATTGTGACCTTATCTCTTTCTCTATACTGTTCATCCCATATCATCAGACTTTAACCTTCCCGATCCGCCAAAGTCTTGTAAATATATATGTATGCAGCTGCTCCATACTGTGACATTAAAAAAGCTATTTATACCCAGTAAGATATGGGACGGAGGGGATATACCCCCTGCAGGTTCAATCCCTATAAACCCTCTAGACTGTTGCACATCCCCCTAGACGTCTGAAAAGAATTCCCGAGATTCTGATCAAACAATGACCAACACAAATGTAAGGGTACTCTCCGTCCCATATCTTGCTTCAAATGTTAACTGACGGTTAACTAATGACCCAAACTTGCACAGTTGTCAAATGAACAAGACAAAGCAGGAGTTTAAATCTTATAGTGAGAATAATTTTTCTGTTATTAAGGCGCCTTTCTGTGTATACGCTTTTGTCCGTTTCGTATCCTCAACCGTGTGCCACGTTTCACTCCGGCTGTATTATTTTTAATTAATACATTCTGCAACTTACACATAGGGACTCAATGCGCATTGAAAAGGCGCACAAAGTATGGAAAGGTACATGTTTTTTTTAAACAAAAGACTTGTAACATCCACTATATACTAAACAACTAGGCCTGCATGTACTGAAAGCCTTTCGTTTCAACAAAATACCTTCCGACGCCAGATAGGCGATTCTTTTGTTAAGGGGAGATAAAGACCGTAAAAATCTGCACAGTAACAGAGTTATCAGACAGTACAGGTTAATCTATCTTACATTCTGCATGGAAAATGATGTCAACTCCTTTTAACGTATGTGCTTTACATGCAGTGTATAAATAATGTTGAAACAATGATGCTGCATGTATCCTTTTGTTACCACAGTCAGCGTCCGTACTTGGGCATTGCTGTTGGAACAAAATATATACCCTAAATAGACCTTTTCCCAATGATGTCTCAATCGTGCTGGACCTTTTATGTGTTGCGACGGTAATGAGTGCATAGTGTTGTGATGGTAATCTACCTATTCAAGATAAACTAGTCAAGCATGCAGCGTTCACACGTGCGCTTGCACGTGGTTGAAGCTGCCCATAGGAATACATGTATATGCGAACACCGTGGCCAAGGCGGTCCACACGTGGTGGTTTTGTTTACATTTAGTCATGCAGGTGAAAAAGGTCTATAGGATAGACCCCAAAACGAAAAAAGCAATTGGTTTGGATGAACTATCACAATACCTACTTCTTACACACGACTCAGCAGCGCTGGTGTAAATCGAAAAACAGCCCTTATCTGACAATGATTGAAAACAAGTGGTTTCGACTGTACAAAACAGTACCTTTTTGTTGCTTTTAATGCTAAAATCATTGTTATCATGCAAACCTCTTCCATGGTCGAGCATAAATTTGAAAAGAGAAAGGCACTCCGAAGATTAATTTCAAATTAAGTATTAAAAAATTCAAGATTAAAAGGCAATTGTTTCATTTCGATGAACGTGGACGAAACGAAATGGACGCAATCATGAAGATCACAAGTGATACTACAACTAATGAGGCAACGCCCCTTTTATGATATGTTCTCTTTTTTTATCAGCAGTCGTGGATGTGTAACGGGGGCGTTGGTCATAAGCTTGTGTACCTTTGCTGAAAAAAACAATACACAAAGTGATTATTTTTATTTGACGTATAGAAAATGCACTGTTGAACGTAACACGAAGCATTCATTGGTTTGGAACCGACCATAAACATTGCTCATTGCTTGGCATTTTGGAAAGTATCTCAAGCTACATAGTACCTTCAGAGAAGGTTTCCCAATTTCTGTTTTCACAAAATCTGTTCACAGGAAATCTGTTTGTATTTAAAAAGTTGAAATAGGATATCAGTCCACCAACCCTTTTAGGATTTTAATAATCACAGGCTTGCAGGAAAATTGATTACCTGAGACAAGCTAGTTATTTATAGAGGACAAGTCTCATCATATCGGCATTGCTCAGCGTGTAAAATATTTTATTGAAGAAATAGTTATTTCCGTTTACTGGAGTCACATAGGCCATCTAAATGCATGCACTTTATTCCGTTGAGACGTAGACACATCTCTCATTATACATGACGCGAAATCCGATGTTATGTGATAGAGGGATTTGTTTGTAGAGTACGGTGTTATCAGAACATTTTGTCCTGTTATACTTTTGACGTTCTGCTCATATTATGTAGACTTAAACCCCATCTTGCCGTTGGATTTTTAAATTTCAAAAACAAAGGACTTTCATTTTGTATCTGCTTTAGAGCAAACGGTATCGTCATGCTTCGAACGGTGAAAGCCCACTTATTAAATGCAATGAGAAAACTCACTCTCAAAAAGGGTGAGTTCCTTATAAATCCACTTTAAAGGGCCATCAATTTGATTTAAGACAGACCCTAACATTACACCTTTATGTCTCAGTTAACGTTATTTTTAACTTTTGTTTCACTATTTTAAAGAGTATGTTGGTGCGTTTTTTGTTTTTTTGCTAATGTTGCAGAAAAACTGTGCCTGAGAAAAATTCATTGCAGCTACAAATAAAGGATTGAAAAAACCTCTCTGAAACGAGTGAAAATCACTCCA